CCCTCATCCCACCCCCCACTCTCAACCCCCCCCCCTCCCACCCTCCACCCCCAAGCCCCCATCCCCCCCCTTACCCCCCCCCTCTCCCTTCGACCCCCCCGCCCACTCGTTTCCCCCCGCCCCCACACCACACAGACACACACACTCACCCACTCGCACGCGCACACACACACACACACACGCACGCGTGCGCATGTACACGCACATACAAACACACTCACACACAAGCACATAAACAAACCACGCGCACAAACCGACACACAAACACAAACACGAACACAACCACAACCACAACCACAACCACAAACACAGACAGAAGCACACAAACATACACTCACAAACACAAGCGCAAGCGCAAACACACACACAGACACAGACACAGACACACAAACACAAACACAAACACAAACACAAACACAAACACACACACACACACTCACACGCACGCGAACGAATGCGCACATACAAACAAATCACACTCCAGAGCACCAATCCCATCCCGCAACAATGAAGATGCTCCTGCTTCCTGCCTCTGGCGCGCTGGCTGCACACTGGCCCCCTTGAGGAGGCCTGCAACGGCTCCTCCCCCTCGGTGGTTCAAAGATGGGGTCCTGAAGGATGGGGGTCCTCAGGACAGGAAGGGATCCAAGGTTGGACTTACGTTGTCTGAGGCACCTCGTCCTTCGGACGAGGTGCCTCAGACAACGTAAATCCCCCCCTGGATCCCTTCCTATCCTTAGGATCCCATTCCTCAGGACCCCATCTAGACGAGCGCGTTCCACTACTCGCAAAGTCACTACTCGCAAATGGCCTGGATCCGCCGTGGGGGTTCCACGATATATCACATCCAGGCGAACGTGGGTTTTTCTGACGTCTGCGAGTACGCACTTTGCGAGCAGTGGAACGCGCTCGGTGACCATCTGTGATGCACCCCTTGAGCAGGGACCGGCCGTCCCGGCATTCCTATAGTCCTACCACGAAGCGTTCCTACAACCCAAAATGTTCTCATATCAAAAACAACGTTCTTAGAACATGAACCCGATGTGATCAAACAAGACAGTCCCAGCCAAACATGGTCTAAGAACCTTCCGTGCAGACCGCAAGAAATTCTTAGAAAATTGTTAGGTCGGGGATCTTCTGACCCAGGTCAATCCAGACCCGGGTCAGCAGGAAACCAACAACTGCAATTCAGGAAAAGAACACTGCAACGCAGGTCTTCGCAAACCCGGGTCAGCCAATATGCGCGGCCGCCTCGCGGCCACGAGCGGCTCGCTAACCCGGGTCAGTCAGAGGGGGTCTTCGCAAGATCTGGTGCCCTGGCTGACCCCCGCTTGCATTGACCCCCGTCTCAAGGCTCCCGATTTGGTAGGGCTATAGGCGAGCCGGGACGCTTCGCCAATGCTTGATCGGTGACCATCTGTGATGCACCCCTAAAACAGGGCTAGGATCGGGATAAATCGCTCCAGAGCGTTCCAGAGCGCTCTCAGAGCGTTCCGGAACGCTCTGGAGCGGCCGCGGCGCCCAATACGTCCTCCAGACCCGCCGATTCTCAGAGATTTCGAGTTATCCCGATCCGATTTTGTCCCGATCTTCGCGTCGCCACTGCTTCATCGGTGACCACCTGTGGTGCCCCCTCCTCCTCCTCCTCCTCCTCCTCCTCCTCCTCCTCCTCCTCCTCCTCCTCCTCCTCCTCCTCCTCCCTCCTCCTCCTCCTCCTCCCCTCCTCCTCCTCCTCCTCCGCCTCCTCCTCCATCCTCCTCCTCCTCCTCCTCCTCCTCCTCCTCCTCCTCCTCCTCCTCCTCCTCCTCCTCCTCCTCCTCCTCCTCCTCCTCCTCCTCCTCCTCCTCCTCCTCCTCCTCCCTCCTCCTCCTCCTCCTCCTCCCTCCTCCTCCTCCTCCTCCTCCTCCTCCTCCTTCCTCCTCCTCCTCCTCCTCCTCCTCCTCCTCGCTCTCCTCCTCCTCATCCTCCTCCTCCTCCTCCTACTCCTCCTCCTCCTCCTCTCCTCCTCCTCCTCCTCCTCCCCTCCTCCTCCTCCTCCCTCCTCCTCCTCCCTCCTCCCCGCCTCCCTCTCCCTCCCTCCTCCTCCCTCCTCCCTCCTCCCTCCTCCTCCGCCTCAATCCTCCTCCCTCCCTCCCTCCCTCCCTCCCTCCTCCCCTCCTCTCTCCCTCCCTCCCTCCCTCCCTCCCTCCCTCCCCTCACCTCCTCCCTCCCTTCCCTCCCTCCCTCCCTCCCTCCCTCCCTCCCTCTCCCTCCCTCCCTCCCTCCCTCCCTCCCTCCCTCCCAGGTCCCTCCTGTGAGATGCCCCCTGCCGGCTTGACCAGCGTAGTTCACCGCGGACGCCACGTGCTGGCCGCCGCCGCCCGGCTGCCCGTCGGGGGCGGCCCGCAGGGCGCGGCCGAGGAGGCCGCCCGAGGCCATGTCCACGAGCGCGGGGCCGTCCCTGCAGGCCCGCGCACACCCTCCTCTCCGCCCTGCTCCTCCTCCTCCTCCTCCTCCTCCTCCTCCTCCTCCTCCTCCTCCGCCTCCGCCTCCGCTCCGCCCGCCTCCGCCTCCGCCTCCTCCTCCTCCTCCTCCTCCTCCTCCTCCTCCTCCTCCTCCTCCTCCGCCCCTGCTCGGGGGCACGAGCGCTGACATAGAGATACACGTCGGGGCGTTGACCTAAGGAACCCTAAATAAGGAACGAGGCCCCTATTATCCACAAGTTGAACTTCGATTTCGTATCGAAAGCCTAAGGAAAATCCAAGGCAAGCTGCGAAGCAATCAAGGAACACGGTGCCCCTCCCCAACGAAAAGGGTTCCTTCTTCAGGGCCCCGACTGTACACGTCGTTCACTTCTAAGCGTGCTCATTTCTGATTGTGCCCGTTTCTAGTTGATCCTGGCCCCCAGTGGCCAGGAAGAGGCCCAGGATAGAACAGGCAGAGATGAAAGGACCTTGGCCCCCCAGAGAATCAACAAACTTTCGAAGAATTGAGAAACGAACGCTGTGTGCAACCTCGGAGGTCCCGCGCGGATTTCTCGGATCCGCGCTGGACCCCCCTGGCGGCGCCTCTGGCGCGCTCCGCGCGCCAGGGGGCGGGGGGTCCAGCGCCGATCCGAGAGATCCGCGCGGGTCTCCTAATTTCCGCCCCCTCCTCCTCCTCCTCCTCCTCCTCCTCCTCCTCCTCCTCCTCCTCCACCTCCTCCTCCTCCTGCTCCTCCGAATCCTCCTCCTCCTCCTCCTCCTCCTCCTTCTCTCCTGCCTCTGCCGCTGCCGCTCCACTGCCGTTTACACGTGGTTTCAGCACTGGGGCTGCAGCTTCTGCGCCGCGTGCGCCTGCGCCTCCAGCCCTGCCCAACTCTTCCCCCCAGATTCCTTTGGTGCTCGCGCCTGTTTGTGCGCGGCCTCGCATGCTACGTATTTCTACGACTGGGCACGGCTGGTGATCCAGCCCGCATCTCAGTCTCAGGAAAGCACATGTCAACCCATACATCACACCTCTGCTGTTCCCAACCATCCTGTGGTGTAGGGTCCTCGTTTTGAATACGCCTCGCCCCGCGTCCTTCCCTCCTTTCTACTCGCCCTCCTCCTTCCTCCTCCCTCCTCCCTCCTCCCATCGCTCCGCATGTTCATGTCGGCAGACCCCTCACACGTTTCGTGGCCCCACAAGGAGCTCCACCGAAGGCCTCAATGGCAAGGCTCGCATGCGGTACCCGCCCCCATCTCGGCACACCCCTCACACGTTCCGTGGCCCCACAAGGAGCTTCACCGAAGGCCCCAATGGCAAGGCTCGCATGCAATACCCGCCCCCAAATCGGCACACCCCTCACACGTTCCGTGGCCCCATAGGGAGCTCCACCGAAGGCCCCTCTGGCAAGATTCGCATGCGGTACCCGCCCCCATCTCGGTACACCCCTCACACGTTCCGTGGCCCCATAGGGAGCTTAATCGAAGGCCCCAATGACAAAGTTTGCATGCGGTACCCGCCTCCATATCGGCACACCCCTCACACGTTTTCGCGGCCCTGCAGGGACAAGGACACACACATGGACGCGGCCTGCACCATGAACCGCGCGCGTGCTGCAGGGTGGGGCCGGAGCGCCCAGAACGTCCAGGTTCCTGCAGACAAGGTGAAACCCTGCAGGCCCCAATGGCTCCACCGAGGGCTCCAGTGGCAAGACTCGCATACGTGACCGCGCCCATTTCGGCACACTCCTCACGCGCGTCGTGGCCGAGGGGTGGCTGCCTCCCACCAGCCATGGCTGTGATCCTCCACGCCGTCGTCGACTCACAGCAGGACGGGTGGGCAGGCTGCCAAGCACAGGCCACTCCTCGTCAAAGGCGCTGGCGCTTGTTGGCTGTGTGGGCCACATGGGGAGCTCCACCGACAACATCACCGCATGCTGCCCCCCCAAAGCCGCGCCAACGAACGCGCAGATTACCGGTAGCGGGTTACACTCGGATGCAACCTGTCACGGCCGACCTCTGCGAGCCCATCAGCAACGCCGCTCCGTCCTTCCTGCGCGCGCCTCAATCCTTTGGCTGGCCCTTATCCTTCATTTCTACAGCTGCATCTGGTTGGGTCCCTCGCCAAGTCAAGTATCAGTCGACATCCTGGTAGATCTCCGAAGTGTTCGAGGAGTGACCTTTTTGACGCGACGTGGGATCGGCTGAGCGGAGCATCAATGTGAAACTACACTCTCACCACGTAGCGACTAGAACGATCACAGGTCGTGGCTGGGATTGCAGGATCCCTGCGGGAGGTGACAGGCTGTCAATCTCCCCCTCCCCTTCCTTCCCTTCCTACTGCGCTTCCTGCGTTTTCCCATCTCAATTTCATTATACATAGTGCCTCTCTGAGGTGCTGTCCAGGACCAGGTGCCAAAGCGACACATTGCCCCGCCCTCAACGAAGTGATCGCGAAAGCGAGCCCTTCAAACACAGGATACAGTAGACACATGCGCTAAGACATCAGGGTTTAAGACATGTTGGGGCATATTCATGGTTCATCTTTCAAGGATCTAAGGTGCCCCAGAGCTTCTGTGGCTCCTTGGGACCACTGGGGGATAGCAAGCTCTGTGGGCCACCAGTTGGCAGGCCGATCTGTGAATCAATCTGTCCACTATGTGTTTGGTGAGGGAGAAGCGAACGGCGCTGTCTTCGGAAAAAACCACGCCGTGATGAGTCCTCTCAAAAACAGCCTCGCCCCATCGCCCCTCCAGGTGCAGACCAGGCCCCCAGCGAACGCGGTGGCGCTGGACGGGAGCGCGCCGGCAATGGAAGGTACCGTCCAACTCTGGGCCTGCGAAAAGAAGAACCAAGATAACACGGAAGGGGGAAACAGGGCGAGAGATAACGAAATGACGGCGAGAGAAAGCGAAATGAGGAAAGTGGATGTCAAGGATGCCTCTCCGCATCGAAAGAATAACACGACAGCGTTAAACGCGAATAGCACGGGCACGGGGGGATATCCTTTGGGGCCCCAGAACAATAAACGGCAGCGGTGGGGAGATACGATTCAAGGCAGGAAGAACAAATCAGGTATGATACAATCCCGTTCGAGTTTGGTACTCAAGGGAGTCTGTTGTGCCTCGCCAGTTCAGGTGTGCAAGCCGCATACGAACCAATCGAGCAAACTCACACTAGTCAGCTGAAACCTTCTAGCAACCAGGTCTCTCTAAACATTTGCAAATCACATTGCAATCGGATAACCTTCTAGTAACCAAGTTCTTCATGTAAGTTTGCGCGGGTGACGCCTTCTGCTGACCGGGCCCCGGCACCGAAGTGCACTGAAGAGAGGATGCTGCACCTTGGGCCCTCTACTGACCAGGCCCCTAATAGACAATTCCGAGGCGGCGAAGAATTCTGCTGGAACGCACAATAACTAAGTCGCGTGCTCAACTGCGACGGGTGTGCTTACATGGAGGCGGGTACCGCAAGCGAGCCCTGCCACTGTGGCCTTCGATTGAGCTTCATGTGGGGGGCCACGAAACGTCTGAGGGGTGTGCTGGAATGGGGGCGGGTACTGCATGCGAGTTCTACCACTGGGGCCTCTTGTGGAGCACCCTATGGGACCACAAAGCGTGCGCAAGGTGTTGCGAAATAGGGGCGGCTACCGCATGCGTGCCGTGTCGCTCGGTCATTCGGTGGAGCTCCATATGCGGCCACGAAACGCGTGAAGGGTGTGCCGAGATTGGGGCGGGTACTGCATGTGAACCCTGCCACTTGGGCCTTCGGTGACGCTCCCTATGGGGCCACGAGGCGTGTGAGGGGTGTTTCGAAATGGAGGCGGCTACCGCATGCAAGATCACCCGCTGGAGCCTGCGGTGGAGCTCTTTTCGGGGTCACGAAGCGTTACGGGGTGTGCCGAAATGGAGGCGGCCACCGTACGTGAGCCCTGCCACTGGGGCCTTAGGTGGAGCCTCTATGGGGCCACGAAGCGTGTGAAGGGTGTGCCGAAATGGAGGCGGCTACCGCATGCGAGCCCTGCTACTAGAACCGTCGGTGGGGCTCCTTATGAGGCCACGAAGCGTGTGAGGGGTGTGCCGACATGGAAGCGGCTACCGCATGCGAGCCCAGCCGCTGAAACCTCTGGATGCTAGACGAAAACCTCCGTTTCCTGACAGTGCTGCTGCCACTCCTCCGTCATGTTATCTCGCCGTTATCCATCAATCGGATGAAGTAGGTGGAAACATGAATCAGGAAAACGTCGAAAATATACAGGGTTCCGTCCACCCCCAAAGGAGGACGGAAAAAAGGGTGAAACCACTCGATCATTGAAGTAGGAAGGCGCTTCAAGTATGTTGGAATCAGGGAGTCCAAACGTACCTATTTTCAACTACCGATGGGTATCGCTCCTGTCCCTCAAGCCAATCGCTAACATGTTCAACACATCTTTGGATCTGCCCTTTGAGCGGGGGGAGGTGAACACCATTGCGGATCAAACGGCGGTCTCTCCCTGACCGTACTCGCATGGCCGCGTCAAGGCGTGGCAGCGGTCTTTTACGGCAGACTCGCGCGGCGCCGCGTGAATTACAATTTTGCGGCCGCGCTCCCATCTGCCGATCCTGGTGAACCTTGGGGGAGCCCTAACCATGGATTCGTGGAGCGCCGTGGGGTCCCATCGAATGTAAACTTATGACCCGCTGTTTTTTTCCTGGAATCGAACTGCGAATCCATGCCACGTCTGCTCAAGGCTTACCAGCACCTCGCCCATGCATTAGCAGCGTGAATCAGCGAAGGGGACGCGAGGACTGCCCGAACGACCCGCCAGAGCCCGAGACGCAATCGTGTCCGGGCGACGCTGGGACCTACGCGCATCGATGCAGCTGGCGTGGGGTGGGGCACACGGGCGACTGGCCATCGTTCGGACGTCCATTCCCTGTGCTTTTTCCCAACCATCCTGTGGTGTTGGGTCCTCGTTTTGAAGAGACGGTGGCCCGCGGCCCGCGTCTCCTCTCCTCCTCTCCTCCTCTCCTCCCCCTCCTCCCTCCTGTCTCCCCCTCCGCACACCCATTTCGGCACACCCCTCACACGTTTCGTGGTCCCATAAGGAATTCCACCGAAGGTCCCAATGGGTGTGCCCGCATGCGTCCCGCACGCGCATTCCGGCACACCTCTCACACGTTTCGTGGCCCCATAGGGAGCTCCACCGAAGGTCCCAGTGGGTGTGCCCGCATGCGTCCCGCACACCCATTTCGGCACACCCCTCACACGTTTCGTGGCCCCATAGGGAGCTTCACCGAAGGTCCCACTGGGTGTGCCCGCATGCGTCCTGCACGCACATTTCGGCACACCCCTCACACGTTTCGTGGCCCCGTTGGGGGTTCCGCCGAAGGTCCCGATAGGTGTGCCCGCATGCGCCCCGCACACCAATTTCGGCACACCCCTCACACGTTTCGTGGCCCCATAGGGAACTCCACCGAAGGTCCCAATGGGTGTGCCCGCATGCGTCCCGCACACCCATTTCGGCACACCCTTCACACGTTTCGTGGCCCCATAGGGAGCTCTACCAAAAGTCCCAGTGGGTGTGCCCGCATGCGTCCCGCACACCCATTTCGGCACACCCCTCACACGTTTCGTGGCCCCATAGAGAGCTCCACCGAAGGTCCCAGTGGGTGTGCCCGCATGCGTCCCGCACAACAATTTCGGCACACCCCTCACACGTTTCGTGGCCCCATAGGGAACTCCACCGAAGGTCCCAATGGGTGTGCCCGCATGCGTCCCGCACACCCATTTCGGCACACCCCTCACACGTTTCGTGGCCCCATAGGGAGCTCTACCGAAGGTCCCAGTGGGTGTGCCCGCATGCGTCCTGCACGCACATTTCGGCACACCCCATCACACGTTTCGTGGCCCCATAAGGAACTCCACCGAAGGTCCCAGTGGGTGTGCCCGCATGCGTCCCGCACACACATTTCGGCACACCCCTCACACGTTTCGTGGCCCCATGAGGAGCTCCACTGAATGTCCCAGTGGGTGTGCCCGCATGCGTCCCGCACACTCATTTCGGCAAACCAGTCACACGTTTCGTAGGCGTTCTCGTTTGGAAAGGCTAACGGGGGTGCCTCGGCATTTTCGAAGCGGGCGCGATCCTCGTGTGGGGCGTGCCGACATGGGCGTCGCGGCGCGCGGGCGCTGCCGTCGGGGTTCCCAAGGAAGCCCCTGCAGAAGCTACGCCACACAATTCGGTACACCGTCATACGATTCGTGGCCCCATAGAGAGCGCCACCCGAGAAGATATTCACAATTGCGGTACTCACAACTGCATATGGTTGGGTCCTTCGCCAGGATAATTTTGGTTTCGTGCGTGGTTTTCCCGCCAAATGATCAAGGATGCTCCTCGATGGCCCTCGATGCGCACGCCCGCGCGACGCCGAGGCGAAGGACGGCGGCGCAGGGGCCCCCGTGCGTGGGCACGGTGCCGCGGCGAAGGCGGGCCAGCTGCTGTGTTTTTCGAGCTCCACGCTCTGTCCGCCTCGTTGAGCCAGGCACCCTACGGTGGGGGGAGAGAGCCTGCAGGGGCCAGCTGCTGCGCCTGCGCCGATGCAGCACCGACGCAGCGCACACACGCAAGTCGACGAGCACGCGGGGGGGGGGAGGCCGAGCAGCGCCGCGGGCGCAGGCCCGCGGCGGCGGCGGCCGCACCGCCTGCCCGAGGGGCCACGGACCGAGGCTCCGCGGGCGGACTCGCCACGCGGCCTGGCAGGGCGGAGTTTCCATCGGCCCCGGGTGGGGCCTGCCCCCCTGCAGGGGGATGTTGGGCGAAGACATAAAACATACTCTGCACATGCTCCCCACATGCTCAAAACGAGGTCGAGCAATCGCCCCCGGACCATTCTTTTTGAGCATTTTTGAATGCTCCCTCTGTAGAGGGACAAGCCCGACCTCACATCAGCCCCCGGATGCGCCGAGGACCCCGAGCGACTCGGAGCACCGCCGACCGCCCGCGCGCTGCGGGCGCGCCCGCTGCGGCGACAGCAGCACCAACACCAGGTCCCCCGCGCGCGAGACGGGGGCCGCTGGGGCGAAGGCGACCTCCCCTGCTCGGCTACACGCAAGAGTGACCCTGGGTAAGAGTGACCTTTGGTGCGCGGCTTTTGGGGGGCCGCGGGGGGACCAAACTCAGGCGCGCAAGACGCTACTATCCCATCGCAATCGGTGACCGGGGGACCCCATTGTGCCCGCACCAGAGGTCACTCCGGCGAAAGGTCACTCTTACGTGTAGTCGACCTGCGCCGGCTGCGGGGCTGCGGGCCCGTCAGGACAGAGGGGGGGGGGTACAGGGTGAAGGGCAAGTGGGGAGGGTGACTGGAGAGAGGGCAGAAGGGGCAGGGGAGAGGGAAGCGGATGGGAGCGGAAGGGGAAAAGGAGGGTGAGCGACGGGACGAGCGATGCCTGGGCAACTGGAGCGTCTCCTGCGAAACCTGTTGACTTACTGAACAACTCTGCGCTGTGAGCTATTTCAAAAAATGATGCAAGTACGCGTGAACGATCCTTGTGAACCATATCAGTCTGCTGAAGCCCTCGTCGACTCACTGGCGGGGCCAATACTTATGCATTTTCGAACTATCGTGGTGGAGCAGGAGGGAGGGAACAAGTCTCGGGCGAAAGATAGGGACCGCGCTCGAGCACGCAAAGCGACATGGCATATCCGCCACCGTGCGATTAAACACGAGTTGGAGGGTCCTCCGGTCCTGTGAACCCACTGTCCTCAACCCTGTAACGTCGCAGCCTTGCATCCTGTGGACGCGCGGGCAAAACAATGACTATCAAATTGTGGTGGTGCGCCAGGCGCGTCCTGGGATGCAGTCCGCCAAACGCGCTGCGAAGACGATGCTACGACGCGGCGGCATGAAATCATATGCTAAGATGCCCCATTGCGTACAGTCGGCCCGTATCCTAAGGATGCGCGATAAGGATTCAAGGGTCTTGGAAGGCCAGGTCGACGCCTTGCGAGCGGGGCGCGGCCAGCGAAAGCAGCCAAGGATGGGTCGAGGCGGCAAAGACGCAAGGGGTACCCTTGGGAAGGTTGCCCATCCTTACTATGCGGGTCGACTGCAAGATGCCCCGTTGCGTACACTTCGTCGTCCCTCTGCTGTCTCGGGCGGGCTCTGCGCTGGCTAAGGGCCCGATTCCTCGGGGAGCCGTCCGCATGGCATACGATATTCTTCACTACAAAATTGTTTGACTATGCAAACATAATGTTTCTACTTACTGGTCTGTTTATCGTGTACAATATAAGACAACGTCTTGTGAAGGCTTTCCTATTCGGCGTTTCAACACCGGACCTTCGCTTAATGCGACTGTTTGCAAACAGTGCGTAACAGCGCGTCCTATGGGGGACTCCACCTGTTCGAAACATGCCAAAACAGCCAAGATCTACGCATTGGGGGGGCGGGAGGGCGGGGGTGCGATGGCCTGCGCCAATCGGCAAAACAATGAATAAGAAAACGATTACTTTGGATCCTGCCTGTTCCAAAACGCTTGCGTTAGAGATGCGCGAACAGTACGCATGTGGGATACCCATGATCGTTCGCAGAAGCCTGCATGAAAAGCGTCTGAGCGATCTCTATCCGCCTTGATGAGCCACAAGGGGTCTAAGGAGTACAGGAGTTTGCTGACCACACAACTTGAATACGTATATGTAGAGCTTTCGGTGTTTCCCGATCGATGCATGCGCCTGCACTTTTCGTAGCCGTTTGAATGCATTCGAACTTTCGGCAACGCGTCGGGACAGCTCTCTGTCGGCGCGCTTAGTTTAAGACGCGAACCCTCCAAGAAATATACGACTTCCTTGACTTTCCGGATCAATTCGCCCGTGGGCCTTTTGATCACATCGGCAAAATCAACTTCGAATTGTGCAACTTTATCCCGATTCATTTCCATGCCGTGCTTGAGCCCCTCGAAAGCGATCGAGTAGTTAAGAGGCCAGGGCCCCAAAGTTCACAGACTCTCCCGGGTGTGCTGCGCGTTGTCGCGTGATTTTCCCCGAAGCCAGACAGCACCAAAACGGCACAAGGAGGGCCCTGGCCCCCCCCCCTCCTTTGGTCCACTAGCGCACAGCAACAACCCAACCGCGCCCTAATATTGCCCCAAGCGGCCCAAGAAACCCCCACAACGCCCCACGAGGGTTCCAAGAGATCCTCCGACGGAAGCCCCATATGCAACAACTGTTGATTTTACGTTCTCGACTTGTCGAGCTTCCAGCGCTCCATCATCGCGCCCTCACTACGGCCCCACTAACAACATAATAACTATCCTGGCGGCAGACCCCACCATACGCAATTGTGAATACCGCGTTGTGGGTACCGCTTTCGGTGGAGCTCCATATGGGGCCACGAGCCGTGTGAGGGGTGTGCCAAAATGGCAGTCGGGCGCCTGCGGCCTGTGCCACTGGGGCCTTCGGTGGAGCTCCCTGTGCGGCCACGAACCTGGTGAGGGGTGCGCCGAAATGGGTGGCGGTCCCGCATGCGTACCCCTCCACTGGGGCCTTCGGTGGAGCTCCCTGTTGGGCCACGGATCCTGTTGGGCCACGAACCGTGTGAAGGATGTGCGAGAACGGGTGGCGGTCTCCGCGTGCGGACCCTGCCGCTGGGCCTTGTGCCCAAATGGGTGGCGGTCTCCGCGTGCGGACCCTGCCACTGGGGCCTTCGGTGTAGCTCCCTGTGGGGCCACGATCCTCGTAAAAGGTGTGCCAAAATGGGTGGCGGTCCCCGCATACGGACCCTGCCGCTGGGGCCTTCGGTGGAGCTCTGTGGGGCCATGATCCTCGTTAAGGGGGTGCCCGAATGGGTGGCGGGTCCCTGGGCCTTCGGTGGATCTCCCTGTGATGCCAAGATCCTCGTGAAGGGTGTGCTAACATGGGTGGCGGTCTCCGCATGTGGACCCTGCCGCTGGGGCCTTCGGTGGAGCCCCCTGTTGGTGCCTAAATGGGTGGCGGTCCCCGCATGCGGACCCTGCCGCTGGGGCCTTCGGTGGAGCTCCCTGTGGTGCCACGATCCTCGTGAAGGGGGTGCCAAAATGGGTGGCGGTCCCCGCATGCGGACCCTGCCACTGGGGCCTTCGGTGGAGCTCCCTGTGGTGCCAAGATCCTGGTGATGGGGTGTGCCTAAATGGTGGGTGGCGGTTCCCGCATGTGGACCCTGCCGCTGGGGCCTTCGGTGGAACTCCCTGTGGTGCCAAGATCCTCGTGATGAGGTGTGCCTAAATGGTGGGTGGCGGTCCCCGCATGCGGACCCTGCCGCTGGGGCCTTCGGTGGAGCTCCCTGTGGGGCCACGATCCTCGTGAAAAATATGCCCGAATGGGTGGCGGTTCCCGCATGCGGACCCTGCCGCTGGGGCCTTCGGTGGAGCTCCCTGCGGGGCCACGATCCTCGTAAAGGGTGTGCCAAAATGGGTGGCGGTCCCTGCATGCGGACCCTGTCGCTGGGTGGGGCCTTCGGTGGAGCTCCCTGTGGGGCCACGATCCTCGTGAGGGGTGTGCCTAAATGGGTGGCGGTCTCCGCATGCGGACCCTGCTACTGAGGCCTTCGGTGGAGCTTCCTGTGGTGCCACGATCCTCGTGAAGGATGTGCCAAAATGAGTGGCGGTCCCCGCATGCGGACCCTGCCGCTGGGGCCTTCGGTGGAGCTCCCTATGGGGTGTGCCAGAATGGGAAGGGCATGCGGAGAGCAGAGGCAAAGCATGGGAGGGCACGGGGGGGGGGGTGACGGGAGGAGGAAGCAGGAGGAGGAGGAGGAGGGAGGGAGGAGGAGGAGGAGGAGGAGAGGAGGAGGGGAGGAGGAGGAGGAGGGAGGAGGAGGAGGAGGAGGAGGAGGAGGAGGACAGGAGGAGGACAGGGAGGAGGAGGAGGAGGAGGAGGAGGAGGAGGAGGAGGAGGAGGAGGAGGAGGAGGAGGAGGAGGAGGAGGAGGAGGAGGAGGAGGAGGATGAAGCTGCTTTTTAGAATGCGCGGGCCCTGCATCTACACACGAGGCCCGCGCCTTCTAAAGAGCAGGGGCTCTTCGAAGAAGCCTTCCCCCCTCACCCCTACCCCACCCTCTGTGCGTGGCTGACCCTCATCGGATCGATCCGGGGCGCGACGCGCTCGAGGATGCGGCCAGGTCGCATCCCAGGACGAGGGGGAGTATCGGACGGCGCCTCGGCTGAGGTGCAACTGCCCGCCCGGCGCGCCCCCGCGGCGCGTGGAAGCCTCTCATGTCCGCCCCCGTCGCCAGATGGCCGCGCGGCTCTTGGCATCGCTCGGACGTCTGCACTTCGTCTCGGCGAGGACCATCGAGGAGCATTTTGGGCCATCCTGCGAGAAAATGCACGCACGAAGCCGAAAAGGTGCGAGGGGCATGGACGGCCGAGCGATGGCGAGGGCTTCGAACCTGACGGTGTGGATCCTGCCCACGGGCAGTGGGGCCAGCCCCCTGCCCGCGAGCTGGTTGAGACAAACTGGCCCAGCTTTGCGGGAGGAGGCTTCCGAATCAGATGCTCGACAATACAGTGCGGGCGCGGCCGCAAGAAACCCTCGCAAGAATCCCAACCCTGAGATCCCGCGCGCGAGTTGCACCGGAGGGGAAACCCGGAGCACCCTGAACGCAGCAGCTCCTTCAACGGCTGCGGGAAGTCGCCGCGCAGCACGAGGAGCAAAGAAACCGAGGATACCCTGAGGAAAAGTATATGGTTTCTTGATGCGCGCCCCCACTGTATGGCGCGACATCGCATAGCGAAGCCGCCTGAACATGTTTTGGCTCAAAGCCCTCGTGGGGTTAGCGAGTCCCTCAGACTTGGTCTGAGTCTGAATCGGCAAGGTGCACGGCTACAGATTTCTCCGCCCAAGGGTTCTTCAAGGCAGCATGCCCGCGCGCGCTGCCGGCATGCAGCGGATGGGCGTGCCGAGCGACTCCACGTCTGGTGGGCACTGCGAAAGAGGTGCACGCCCTGCCCAGAGAAATGCCCCGTGCGCCGCAACGGGTCGACCAGCTGACACCTGGCTGCCCCAAGTCAGTAGCGCGGCCCCCTCCTCCAGTTCGGATGTTGCCAGAAGTGCCCCTGGCCCAAGGTGTCCCCAGGATTCTCGGGGCGGCCCAGACGGCCTCCAGGGCACCCCTCACGAGGCCCAGGGGGCCCCAGGGGCTCCAAACTGGAGCGAAAAGCTGGGGGCACCTTGGGCCAGGGGCACTTCTAGCAACACCCGACTAGTGGTGAGCATCCGATCGCGCTGGCAAGCATCCGGCAGCGCAGATCTTCACGCAGAGCGTGAAACCCGACGCAGGCACGACGGCCGCCCAGCGGCGGCGCACACTCACTCGCTCTCCCTTCCGCCCTGCCACCCTCTCTCTCTCTTTCCCTCCTCCTCCTCCTCCTCCTCCTCCTCCTCTTCGCTCTCTCTCTCTCTCTCTTTCTCCTCCTCCTCCTCCTCCTCCTCCGGCGCCCTGCTCTCCGCGTCTGCCTGCCCCCTTCCGTCGGCGCCAGCGAAGCCCGCCCCATCGAGAGGGCGCTCCCCCGCCGTGGTGGCGCCGGCCCATGGCGCCCGCCGCGCGGAGAGCCGCAGCGGGAAGCAGGTGGCGGCGAGCGGGCCCGCGGCGGCGAGCTTGGCCGCCGGCAGCGCGGGCCGGTGGCGCACGCGGACGGCGTGGTGTCCGGCCTGGGCGACGCGGACGCGCGCGCGCGCGAGCCCACGGTGAGGTCGGGCATGTCCCCCTACTAGGGGGGGTTGTGGACGAGAAATAAAAGTAGTCAAACAATACTCAAAAGATGCCCGAAAGCAGTCAAAAGATTGTCCCCGGACTGTTCTTCGACTATTTTTGAAGATCCCCCCTGTAAAGGGACAGGCCCGACTTAAGCCCACGGGCCCGCGCTCGTTCGCCGCCGAAGATGCGGCCCAACGGGCTCCCAATGTTCAAGACCGCCCCAAGACGGCCAATAAGGCCTTCAAGAGAGTCCCCATGACGGCCCGAGAAGGCCCCAGGACGGCCGCAGGCCACCCCGCCCCAGACGGCCCCAGATAGTCCCCAAGAGGGCCCTACAGCAGGATCTCGACCACAAGGAACCTCCCAGAAGAAACCGAACCCCGAGACCCCAGGGCGTCCACCCACTTCTGGGGTGGGAGCGCGAATTCGTGCGTGTGTTTCTTCCCTTGATGATTCGAGGTCTCCTCGATCGTCCTCGTCGAGGATAAAAGAAACACATGCGTCCGAGCGACGCCGCGGCGACGGGGCGCCCCCGGGGGCGGAACAGCCTGCTTCTGCGCCGCTCTCCGCCCCCTGAACGAGATTGATGCCGGCCAGCTCGTCCAGGCCGGCCCTGACTCCGGATCCGCCCTACTCTGGGGAAGTTCGTGTCGGGTGTTGCTAGAAGTGCCCCTGACCCAGGGTGCCCCCAGCTTTCCGCTCCAGTTTGGAGCCCCTGGGGCCCCCTGGGCCTCGTGAGCGGCGCCCTGGAGGCCGTCTGGGCCACCCCGAGAATCCTGGGGACACCTTGGGCCAGGGGCACTTCTGGCAACACCCGATCGTAAGTAGGGCTCGGAATTTCCGCCTTGCTTTTCAAGCCCCGCTGATGCCGATTTCGGCCCTAATTTTCTGTTGCTGTTTCCGCCCTGCTTCTGTGGATGTTCGCCCTCTTTTGTGTTGGGTGCAGAAATTTCCGCCCTACTTTTTCGGCTTCTTATAAGTGGATTTCCGACGCAATTTTAAGTTGGGAAAAAAGCCAAAGTAGGGCGGATCTGGAGTCAGGGGGGGCCTCGGGAGGCCCCGGGCCAGCCACGAAAAAATGTATGTTTTTCCGTCGGCGGCGAGGCAGAAGGGCTGCGCCGGCGACAGGAGCTACACGGGGGGCACCGGGAAACGAATGGCAGGACGGACGGGGCGGCCCACCGAGAAGAGACGAGGCGCGGCGCAGGAGATCCACGCGAGATTGTGGTGCCGAAGGCTCCAGAGCCCGGCGTAGTCTCACCAACTCTCTGTGCTGAGGAACAGAAGGGACAAAAACGGCATGCACATGAATCATTGGCGCTCCGCGCGGATTTCTTGGATCCGCGCTGGGCCCCCCTCCCTGGCGCGCGGAGTGCGCCGGGGGCGGCGCCGGAGGCGCCGCCAGGGGGTCCCAGCGCAGATATCCGAGAAATTCGCGCGGAGCGCCGAACATTTATGTTTACAGTCGGGGCGCTGACCTAAGGAACCCTAAATAAGGAACGAGGCCCCTATTTTCCAGAAGTTGAACTTCGATTCCACATCGAAAACCTGAGGAAAAGCCAAAGGCAAGCTGTGAAACAATCAAAGAACACCGAGCCCCTCCCCAACAAAAAAAGGGTTCCTTCTCCAGGGCCCCGACTGTATGCCGTTTTTTTTCTTCGATCTTCCGGCCTCCCCCGTCCTTCCTCGCTCCACTGCCGGGGCATCAACCACAAGCTGTACCGAGGAGCCGTGAGCGCTTCCTCTTGTGGTTCCCCCCGTCCTTCCTCGCTCACCCGTCAGGGCATCGTCCGCACGCTGTGGCGAGGAGCCGTGGTGCTGCCCGTCCTCATCTCCCCACTCCCCCTCGCATTCCCTGTCGGCGTCTGTGCGCATCGCTGCACCAGCGCGCCCGAGGTGCCACACCACTGTGGAACTATGTGATCGTTGACCTATTGCGTGCTGCATGTGCTACTCGCGATAGCAGCGCCGCCGCCTCGATCTGTTGATCCCCACAAAACAACGGCACCCCTCGCGCAAGAAGACCACAAACAGCTTTACAGCCAGGATGGGGGCCACGATGGTGCGTCACGATGGGGGGGTCGGGACGGGGATAGGGACAGGGGCAGGGACATGAGGCTAGGATGCAAGGATATGGATATGGGTATGCAGGGACAATAAGGGGTAAGGATACACGTCGGTTGGAAGAAGTAGGTAAAAACATGAAGTAAGAAGGCGGATTAAGTTGATTCGGTCCAGGCCCCCCCAGAGAATAACAAAACACAGCAACAGCGTGCCGATTCTTGAGGTAGGAAGGCGCTTGAAGTAGATTGGGATCTGGGAGTCCAAAAATATGGGTCTGGAGGGAGGCCTCCCGAGCCACGATACCTCGTTAACAACGATGGATTTGCGTCCCGAGTTGCTAAGACGGCCCGTGCAAGCAACCAATGACACTCAAATGGCCCACGATGCCTCGAAGACGGCCTAAGATGGCCCCAAGGCGGCCGAAGATTGGTTCAAGACGGCCCAAGATGCCTCCAAGAGGGTCCCAAACGGCTATAAGGAAGGTTCCGAAGAAGCCAAACGCATTGATTCCCCTCAGGTTTCTGACTGAGCAATTTTTGAATTCTCGCCTTTTCGGGCTGCCGCCAGCTCAAGAAGGCCCAAGAGGACTCAACGATGGCCTAAGAGGCATCCAAGACGGCCCCAAGACTGCCCAAGAGGGCCTCCCATGGATAAAACCGTCTTCGGATCAAATCGCCCAAATGAACTCATTTGGATGAATTCTTCTCGGATGAACTCGCCCGGATGAAATCGTTTCAAATGAAAACATCTCGAATGAAGTGACCCCAGATAAAACTTGTCCGGACGAACTCGTCTCAGACGAACATATCGTCGGTCGAGGTCGCTCAACTGCTCTCCGTATCTGGGCCGAGCGGAATCTCCCGGAAGAAACTGCCTAGAAGAATTTGTCCAGGAGAAATTGTCCGAAACAACATGCGCGGATGAAAAAACTCCGATGAACTCGTCTTCGGGTAAACTCGTCCATAAGAAGTTGTCTGGACGAACTCGTCCGGAGAAACTCGTCTGAGATGAACTCGTCCGGATGAAACAGGTTCGGATGAAAAGGTATGCTTTCGTTCATGGGCGCACGTCTTGCTGGTCCACCGCTGACGGCCCCTGCCTGGGCCTGGCATCTGCCCGGACTGCTCCGACAGGAGCTCACACAACGGGCATTAACCGCCCAGCGCACGACTCTCAGCGGTGGCCTGGCCGCGGACAACTTGCAGGCACGGAGGCGTGGGGCCTCCTCGAAGCAAGCACCTTGAGCTAAAATGGCTACGGAGGAGGAGGGGGGAGGAGGTCGGTCGGTCGGTCGCTGCATCGGGCCTCGGGTCGAAGATCACGCAACCCCAACTACACATCATAACGCATCGATATGTACGACCTGCAGTGCGCGCACAGGCATAGGAAAACACGGCGTGTCCTCCCTGGGAGCCCCGAATTGTCTTCGCTCTACCATTTACGGTGAGACTCGAGGATTTTTAAACGTTCAGTTCGACTGAGTTTTGCGAATTGCTCTACGTCTGCTGCTATTCTATTGCTACGTTTCGACATCACCTGAACCTGTGCACTACTACTACTAACTGGCTGAGGGCGGGGAGGAGCAGTAGACGAACGGGTGGGAGGGGTCAGGGCGGGCGAGGGGGGAAGATCCTGCACTGCAGTCCTCGACGGACCGCGCCGATGTCTGGCGGTCTCCGCCTTGAGCTCAGCCGCGCTCCCCGCGGCCACACTGCTACGCACTGTGGCCACCGCGGCCGCCCGCGAGCTCAGCGGACGCGGAGCACCATCACCAGCTTCCCATCCTCTAGGGCCTGCCACGTCCTCAGTCGCATCTCCAGGAAGCTCTGTCAGATGTCTGCGAACTGGTCGAGCGCCATCTGCAGTGCACGCTCCTGATGCCCGCGGGGGCCCACGCCAGGCTTGTACTCCGCTCCCAGCTGCTCCGCGCACTTCAGGAAGCGCTGCTCGATGTTGGGGTCGCTGATGCACATCACTATCTTGGCCCTGCCCTCCTTGTAGCATTGCGACACGCGGAAGCCGCGCACCAGGGACGTCAGCTCGGGGATAGTCATCGGGTCGATCCGAGTATAGATCGTCTCCCAGGCCTCCTTGTTGCGCATGCCCACCTGGTCGCCCGCGCTTTTCAGCGCGCGAGCGGCCTCGAGGAACACCTGAACGCATGCGGGGCCCATGATCGCCTCGGGGGTCTTGTGCTGCGTGGAGTCGGCGTGGTGCAGGTCGCGTAGCTTCTGCGCCTCCAGCGCGTAGGCCTTGCCCGCTGTGAAGGGCGCCTTCACCAACTCGGCGTCGTCGTCCATGAGCAGCGTGTGGTAGTTCGTCGACATGAGCTGGCGAATGTTGAAGCTGTTGCCCAAGACCGCCTTCGCGATCACTGGGGTGATCTTGAGCGCCAGCTGCATCTCCATGGTCGGTAGCTTGTCCAGCGCGTCCTTCGGGGCCCCGTAGGTCTGGCCGATGTCGGCTTGCGCCGTGCGGCGATCGCCGCGAGCGCGAGCACCCCGCGCTGCGGCATCCACGGGCATGAGCACTGCGTCGGCGGCTGGCCGCGCGGCCGCGGCACCGCGCTCGCTGCTGCGCCCTCCGCCTCCGCGACGGCGCACGTGGGCCCCGCGGCTGGCACTCTCGGAGCCATCTCGGCCATCTCGCCCAGGCGCGGCTCGGCGGCTGTGGGATCGAGATCGGCCCTTGGCCCGCTCCAGTGCCTGCGAGCTGAGACGGAAGGCCATGGGCGTCGCCGCCGCCCACAGGAGCCCACCGCGCGGCCCGAGGGGCGCTCGGGGCGTTCGCATGCTGCTCGAGCAGATGTGCCTGCAGATCTGCTAGGGTCTCGAAGGGCCCCCCAATCGGACATGCTAGCTCCAGGGACTGCGAGCCAGGGTACAACGCAGACCTTGTTATCGAAGCCAAGGGACACATCAGAGATGGAGACATGACCACCTCGTGGTAGAAGGGGGGCCGCTGGGCAGGGCATCGACGAGTCATGCATGCGGTCACGGCGTGCTCTTGTGCAATCCGTCTTGTCCTGAAGGTGCTAGAACAGTATACACATTGGTTGGTAATGATGAGGGAATGAATGATGGACCGACATCCGTGGCCAGAGTTTTTCTGGAACTTCTGATGGGCGAGCAGCGCCCGTCTCGTGCTGAACTCGCGCCCGCGCATGGCGCCCCCGGCGCCGAGCAGCTCGCAGCGCCATATGGCTGGCGGCGGCGGAGGGGCCTCCCCCGTCGCCAACGGTGGCTGCCAGCCAGGCGGCGGGATCGCCACCGTGCGCGCCTGCGCCCTCAGCATCCCAGGGTCGTGCACGAGGTAGCGCTCCCGCAGGTCGTCATTGAAGAACAGCGCCACGACATTGAGCGAGCCCTTCGCCGTCTGCAGGTCCTCGCGCAGCTCGTCGTCGCCCGCGGCCGTCAGCAGCGTCTCCACGTCTTCAACGAACCGCAGCGCGTGCGGGTTAGCGTCCGTGGCCACCGAGCCCTCGTCATCGAGCGTCGCCGTCGGCTCCAGCGGAAGCTCGCCGAACATCACCGCGAGCTCTTGCGGGTGTCGATCAGGGGCCCGAAGCCATCGCTGGTATTGACGTAGTCGGCGAACTCGTAGTTCCGTAGTCGTGGGGGCCATTCCAAGCCGCTTCAGCACCGCAACGTCGGACATCGCCTTGTAGCGGACGAGCAGCTTGCCGTTGTCGTCGACCTTCTGAACGCCCGCGTCGTCGAGGAGCGGGATCTTCTGGCAGGCGGCCCCCTTCAGGAGGCGACGTCCAAGACTGGAGAGCACCTTGTCAATCTGCATCTGCTGCGACACGCTCAGGGCCAGGACGTTGAGCCCGCTCAACGCGGCCTCCTGCACGACAGACCCGAACACGATCCTGGTCAGGCGCCAGATGCGGTTGCGCGCCCAGAAGCGGCCCATGCTGTAATATCCCCTGCGGGCAGCTTGCAGGCGTCGCCGAAGCTCAGCCTGCGCGCTCCCCGTGATAGAGGTCTGGATGCCCAGCGCGATGTTGTCGTACTGCGCGACCCCCGCGATGTTCTCGGCACCGCTGAAGAGCTTCCTCGTCTCGTGCTGGGCGCCACAGCCCACGAAACAAGGCGATACCGAGCTCTTGGTCGGGTTGTGCGTGTAGCCGTAGGGCCCCAGCGCACGTCGAAACTCGCAATGCGAGTGTCTGGAGACAAAGCCCGCGTTCCTGGCAGAGGTGACGACGCTAGTGTGGTTGGTGTCGTCTGCGTAGATCCGCGTCCCGAGCGGGACGGCAACCTCCAGGAGCGGGCACCACGCTGTACAGATCATCTCACTCGGCCAAATCGTGGTGTCGATGTCGGTTCGGGGCGTCGGAGGTAGAAGTGGTTGAGTCTTCCACTCGCGGTAGGAGGTCGGTTGGTCAAGCATTTCGTACGTAGCCCAGGCCGCTCCTCGTAGTCGCTGTAGCCAGTCGGTAATAGGTACACGGAAGGTCCTGGCGAAGAAGAGCGCCGCGGGGGTGTCGCCCATGAAGGCTCCGCATCGGTTGCGCATGTCCTGGTCGCCGTCGGCCCCCCCCACGCAGAAGGTGCTGAGCTCGTGGCGCTGGTGGAAATACTCCTGCTCCTCTGGGCGCACGGCCGCCATGACCGTCTGGCGCAGGGCGGGAAGGGTGGAGGACCCGAAGGCGTGCTCATGTCCTCCTTGGTGGTGAGGGTGGAGATGCCAAGACGACGCAGTCGCCAGGGGGGGAGGAGGAGGAGGAGGAGGAGGAGGAGGAGGAGGAGGAGGAGGAGGAGGAGGAGGAGGAGGGAGGAGGAGGAGGAGGAGGAGGAGGAGGAGGAGGAAGAGGGAGGATGGAGTGGAAGATGAGGAAAATGAGTGTAGAGGAGGAGGAGGAGGAGGAGAAGGAGGAGGAGGAGGAGGCGGAGGAGGAGGAGTACGGCGGAGGAAAAGGGCGGAGGAGGGCACAGGAGAAGTCCAGAGGGAGGGAGGGATGCGCGGCGCGGCGCAAGAACTCGCGGGTGCGGGTGGGGGCGGGGGGGCCTGAAGCCGCAGCACCAGCGCCACGCGCGCGTTCAGCGGCTCGGCCGCGGCGCCGGCAGCGCTCATCTCGGAGTTCGCCTCCTCCTCGGGGACCACCCCACCATCGTTCATCCAGACCTGCACGTCGGACAGCAGGAGGTTGAACCGCACCTCTACCTCCACGATCGAGGCCTCGTCCACGTCGACGTCGAAGGTGGCAACCTCGATCCCTTCTGGATGCAGCCGCACCGCGCCCTCCGCTGACCCCTCGGCCGCGGCGAGCCGTGCCAGCTCCTGCAGGGTGGTGGTCTGGCCGGAGCAGCCTGACATCGCCGCGACGTCCTCGGCCGGGGCCGCCTGCAGCAGCAGCTCGAAGGCGGCGCAGCCAGACGCGTGCGCGTCCTGGTGCTCGCGGTGGAACGACAGCCAGATGCCGCCGGCGTCCTCGGGGCGGAGCTCGTAGGCCGCGGACCAGCCAGCGGCGCCGTGGCTGCGCACGGTGCTGGGCGCCAGCGGGCGGTGTGCGCCGTCCTCGAGGGCGACCTCCACCTGGCTGGCGTCGCCCGACACGACGGCGAAGCGGAGGAGGGACCCGCCCCGCGGGCGGAGGAACACCTTCTTGCGGCCGTCGTGTATGTTCGTCAGCATCACGCGGTGCCGCAGCAGCAGGCGGCCGTCCGGCCCCATCGGCCCGCCCAGGCCGCCCGAGCCGCCAGACGCCGCCAGCGCGTCCAGCGGCAGCGGCGAGGCGCCGGGCGCGTCGCAGCGCGCCCCCAGGCTCAGGGACCAGGCGGCGCCCGCCAGGCTCTGCCCGGCGACGGCCAGGGCCCCGGCGTGGGGCTGCGGCGAGAAGGTCTCGGACACGGCGGGGCGCAGGGCGGCCTGGCTGACGACGATCCCGAAATCCATGCAGCCCCCGTCCCGCCAGGAGTGGCCGGGCTCGTCGACCTGGAGGGTGTAGTGCCCAGGGGGCAGCTCGATCTCCAGGGCGCTCGTGCCCATCCGCTGCTCGCCCACCCAGACGCCTTCCTCGGTCTTGAAGCCCACGCGCACGTGCCGGGAGGCGAAGTCGGACCAGCTGCCGATGAGGACCACCGAAGGCCGCGGCACGCTCATGTCGATGAGCACGGGGCCCGGCAGCCCGCGAGCGCGGAAACGCTTCACCTGACGCCAGCTGCGCGCGCCCGCGAGGCTCGGGGGCGGCACCCCGAGCCCGCGCACCTCTGCGAGGGGTGCCTCGGCGGGGCAGTCCCCGTCCACCGCGCGGGCGGCCACCGCGGCCGAGAGGCCGACGGTGATGTAAAACGGCAGGGACCCGTGGACGCATTCGGGGCACGCGGGCTCGCCGCCGGGGACCAGCCGCAGCAGGTAGGTGCCGGAGCGACTCAGGGCGACCTGTGTGCCCTGCATCAGCGCCGCGGGGTAAGCAACCACCTCGCCATCTGGGCCATCCCGCCGCACCTCTAGGCTCAGCCTGGGCGCGAGGAGGTCCGCCGGCTCGGCCACCAGCCGTAACGTGCGGGGCCCGTCCACCTTCAGGATGGTGTCGCCGCCGCCAGGGGGCACGGCGTACATCTGCGAGACCAGCAGGCTGTCCTCAGGCTGGAGCCAGGACGGGACCAGCATCGCGGGCAGGGGCGAGACGGCCAGCAGCTCTGCGAGGTTCAGCATCTCCTGCCTGAAGTTCGACGCGTCGCGCCCGGACGGCTCCAGCAGCGCCGCCGCGCCGGTGACGAGCGCACAGCGCTGCGCCAGCGTGAAGCCCTGCGCCCTGTCCGACCGGCCACAACCGGAGGAGGTGCGTTCCTTACCCCGTGGGCGGACCCGCAATCTCGACGATCCCTGGAGAGGGGTGTCGAAGCCGGTGGGTCCCCCCGGGGGGGTGAGGACCGCAGCTCACCCGATGTGGCAGTAGCCGCCCCGATACGCCACACGCAACCCGCAGGCTGTTGACACGGGGGGCTCAACACGTGGATTGAAACCGTACGCTTGGCGCGGTACGTTCGCCAACAAAAGTGGGCCAACACGTGGAGCCAACACGCGGCGCAATTACACGGACATTCTTTTTGAACACGGCATGTGCTGCGCCTCAGCACGGGCGTACCGAGACAGCTACGGCTGTGGCTGACCTGCCTGTTCCACACCCTGCTCCACGAGCGCACGTGCAGCCGGTACAAGCCCTTCGGCAGGCTCGGCGCCAGCAGCGCCAGCCGCCCCCCGCTCGGCCGCGCGCGCGCCCACAGGCCGCCCGGCGCCCCCTCCGCGTCCTCGACGAGCACCTCCAGGGGCAGCCAGGGCGGCTGCACGCCGAGCTCGAGGCGCAGCTCTGCGGTGGCGGAGCGCACGCTGAACATGACCGTGGTGCCGACGCCGGCGCCCGCGAGCGGGAGCGAGAAGGTCTGCAGGCGGGCGGCGTCCACCCGCTGCGGGCGCAGGGACTCCTCGAGCTGCCTGCCGACGTCGAGCCCCGCTGCGCCGCCCGCGCCGGGGCAGGGCGGCACGTCGGCGGCGGCGACGACGACGAGGTGGAGGCGCAGCGAGGGGCACGCGGTGGAGGTGGGCAGACGCGAGGCCTCCACGGTGACCTGCAGAGGTGCCCCGGCGACGATCAGCACGGCGTCCTCCGTCCTCCTGCCCCGCGGCGCGGCCGGGGCGCCGGCCGCGCTCACGCCCACCTCCGCGTCGGACGAGGAGGCCTCCGCGCGCACGACCCAGGGGCCCTCGCCGAGGCCGGTGATCTCGATGCTCTGCCGCCCGCTGCGCGGCAGCAGGAACTCCCCGTCGAGCAGGGCGGGCCGGCCAGGGAGCGCAGACAGCTGCTCCGGCAGCTCTGGGCCCCCCAGGCGGCAGGGCCCGGAGCTCAGCAGCGGCGCGGCGGCCAGCGGCGTGGCCGCGAGCTCGGCAGGGCCGCTCGGCGGCAGCGAGGGCGGAGCTGCCGCCACCGCTGCGAGGTCGACGGAGAGGGTCACGCAGTGCCTGCCGGGAGGGAGGGGGGCGGGGGAGGGAGGAGGACAGAGAGGGAGGGGGAGGGAGCGACAGAGAGAGAGAGAGAGAGCGAGAGACGGTCACGGACGGAGGGAAGCGAATGAGGGAGGTGGGAAGGCTGTGGCGCTTTCCACTCTAGAGCCGCCCAGGACCCCAACTGGCCATCAGGACGCCCCACACATGGAATGACAAAACACGCTGAATATCAATCGACTTTGACTTTTTTTGCTGACTGTCGCAGAGGGCTTCAGGATGACTCCAGAAAACTACGCCTGTGTGCGGCTTTCGGGCCGCCCCAGGCGACTCACACTCCAATAGAGCCCCAATGCCCAATGCGGCCAAAGAGCTGACTCTCCCAGGTGCCGCCCCAAGATGGCCCCATGTTGGCCCAAGGCAGCTACAGGACGGCTCAAGACCAGCCCAGCGCAAACCCAACAGACGGCCCTCCGACCCCCCAGCACAACCCGACGACCCCCCGCCCCAACAATCTCCAAGACACCTCCTATAACCGCAGCGGGCCCCGAAGAGGACCCTGCGAGAGGCCCCGACGAGGTCTGCAAACACCCAGAGTCACCCAAGAGGCTCCAAAGAGGCTCCCAAGATGCCCCCAACTTCCTGCAATTTTTATCCTTGCGTGGTGGCAAGTATCGCGTGGACGGTTATATATACGTATATATATATATATATATATATCGTTACGCGGACGCGCAGAAAGATACTTTTAAACATCCATCTTCACAACTGCATGTGTGATGAACTCGTGCCGGCATACCGTGGTTTCACACGATGATAAGTAAACTCCAATAGGGCGTTGACTCGATTGCTTTGCCTGTAATCGGATGGCGCGTAGGTGCTGTGGACCTGCTGTGCATAGCAAGTGCCTCAAATCTGCGTGCGTCCGAACATGTGTACGCAATTACGAACAATATCTAGAACGCTACGCAGACATGATCAATACGCGTAATGTGCACATGGGCACAGTGCCGTCACGGCGAATCACTGAGGGCAACCACGCTACGGATGCAACTTCGCACCAACGTAGATATCTTGAGGCGGTTCTCGGCATGTGACTCGCTGGTACGGCGGCTTCCCGTTCACTGCTTTGGCTGCAATGTGAAATCGTCCGCACGGGTACTACATCGAGGCAACGTTGCGCGTACATGAATCGCGGGGGGGGATGGCCTCTTGCTCGAAGCGCTCGCAGGCAAGCGGGGGACGTGGAACACCTCGACCTGCAAAAGCGTCGTGTGCTGAGAGCGGAGCCGGACGACCCCAACCCCTTCGCAGTTTCCTTCCCCTATCCCTCTCCACGTCCCCGTCCTCGTCGTCTTCGTCGTCGTCCTCCTCCTCCTCCTCCTCGTTCTCCTCCCCCTCCTTTCCTGCATCCTCCAAAAACAGTTGCTGCTCCTCCTTCTCATCATCCCTTTAAAAGCTCTTTCAAACTTCAGATCCGACCACGTCGTCGCCTCTCATGTCAGGCCCACCTCCTCCTCCTCCCCTTCCCTTTCAATCGAAGCGAGAAGGGAGGATTGAAGAGGCGAAGGCATGACGATGATGATGAGGGTGAGATAGGAGAGCGGAGAAAGAGAAGGAGGAGGAGGAGGAGGAATACCAAAAAGAGGAGGAAGAAGAGGAGGAGAAGTAGGACACGGAAAGACAACGGGGGAAGGCAAGTAAGGAGAACGGGCTCGGGGAGAACGCGTGCGCGACCTGCTTGGCCCCTGCATAAAACAGAAAGTGCCAACGGACGCCGGCGACTTATGCGCCCCACAAGAAGGGACTGCATGTTCTGCGTGTCTTCGCAACAGGACATCATCGTGATGATGAGTGCCCTGACTCGCTGGTGTGGCAGAGCGATGGATACACATGGAACGCTGACCCTCGGCGCGTGCATCCAAGTGTGTATCGTCGCAATACTACCATCGTCATGATGATGTTTGTCATGATGCGCTGGTGTGGTACGCCGGTGTCATGACACGCTGGTGTGCCGATATATATATATATGTATATATATAACATAGGTCGTGATCCAGCACGGGTCCATTGAAAGCTGGCCCCTCGCCTGTGCATCATCCCAGGACAATCGTCATGATGATGCGTGCCATGACGCGCTGTGACGTTGGGGCGCCAAGAACTTGCACCATGGAGTCCTCAAGCGGACTTCGTGCACATCTTTTCTTCGGTGCCGCAGAATCAAAATACCGTGTCTCGTGGGTCGAACAGCAATTCGCCTGAACTACAAACGCCGTCTTTCCACAGCACGCGCGCCACCCAATTGGCCCTTACCCATGGCAGAGAGTACCAACAGACGCTGGCGACTAATGCGCCCCAGACGAAGCGATTGAATGTTCTGCGTGTGTCGTCGCAACAGGGACATCATCATGATGATGAATACCATGGCGCGCTGATGTGCCACAGCGATGGGTACACATGGAACGCTGGCCTTCCGCATGTGCATCCGATGTTGTACCGTCGCAATAACGCAAGGACGTCGTCATTGATATCGGAGGGCGTGGTCAACCCTGGCGCCGTCATTGGCCTTGCCGTCGTCATCGCCACTATCGTCACCATCATCGCTACTCCCATCATCGTGTCTACCGTTATCGGCGTCGCCATGATGCCGCGCACGTCCAAATCACCGATTCGCATTGAAATGCCCGCTGGAAGTGCCCACGGGTCAGCGCCACCGCGCCCGCGTCGGTCACGCCGCACTAGCTGGTCGCTGCATGTGCGAACATGCGCGGGCTAGGCACCAGCCAGCGCCAAGCACTCATCGCAATCGCCGTCGCATGGGTTTTGCAAACAAAGTTGGGGGTGGGTCGGTGGAACGTTTTCGCGAGCAGCGAGCCGTGGAGTGGACAACTTCAAGTCTGGCAGGGTGAACAACACCACGCAGTTTACATCACACATGTTGCGCCACATACGATGTACCGCGTATATTGTCCTAGAGAGAAATAGGTTCTACCACCCTCCACCCCCGGGGTTAAATATTCCTCGGGAACCGATGCAAAACACATCGAATTCGGACCCAATGACCATCCTACCTGTGAGTTCGTACTATCCCAGCCAAACCGGTATCGGTCCCCCCCGCCATCCTCTGCAAAAACATACTGTATGCGCGCGCGTTCGTTTATCAACAATGATAAGTTTTTCAAACATCCATTGCACAAAAAATTGCAACGAAGTGCGCACGCGCGCGTCGTCGCGCACGTATGCGAAAATCTTTCAAAAACCTTCGGTTTCGGAAGGATTTCGAAATCGAGTGTCCAAGACACTTATGAAACAAAGGGCTTCGCAACGCGGATTTTCCCCGAAAAGCATTCGCGCACGCTCTTGCGAATTCTTAGGAAAACCAAACGGGCTTTGCGTGCGCGCGTGCCGAAATCGTTCGAACGCCCTTTCGCGCGTGCCGTCACGAGAACCTTCTGCAAACAAGCAAAACGAAGCGCACGCGCGCGCGTCGTCGCGCGCGCATGCCGGAATCCTTCAAAAACCTCCGGTTTCGGAAACATTTGAAAATCGAACGTCCAACAAACATACAACACACAGGGTTTCGCGTCACGGATTTTCAACAAAAGCGTGCGGAAACCATGAATTTCTCAACATTTTCAAAAAATGCTACCAAGCGGGCTTCGCGCGCGCGTGTCGAAATCGTTCGAACGACCTTGCGCGCGTGCTGGGGTGGCACGGTCCGTGTCAATAACACCATGCGAGCCACTCTCGCGCGTCTGCCGCGCGCGCATTTCGAACTCCTTCCAAAGCACTCATCACCGACGCGAAGACGCCGTCATCGTCGTCGGCGTGATCGGCATCGGCGCCGGCACTGGCCATGCCGTCGTCGTTGTAGCATCGTCACCAACATCGGTACCATCATCATCATCATCATCATCATCATCATCATCATCATCATCATCATCATCATCATCATCATCATCATCATCATCATCATCATCATCATCATCATCGTGTCTACAAGTGTCGACGTTGCCATGATACCGCGCCCGTCCAAGTCGCTGACTCGCACCCAAGTGCCCGCCTAGATGTGCCGAGCGGTCAGCACCACCGCGGCCGCGTCGGTCGCGCCAAAATACCTGGCCGCTGCGCGCGCGCATGCGCGGGCTGGCGCGGCCGCAGAAATGCACCAGTCAGCGCCAAGCACTCATCGCCATCGCCGCCGCATGAGGTTTGCAAACCAAGTTGCGGGTGGGTGGGTGGGATGTTTGCGCGAGCAATGAAGTGGACAACTCACTGCGAACAGAAATGAAGTGCACCACGTATTTGCACCACGCAGCTTGCACCACGACACACATTGAACTGCATAGCTAAGTGCTTAACATCGATTGCGCCACATAGCACCAAACCCGCCGACACTTCGGCGTGTGAGAGACGCTGTCGTCGTTGTCGTCGTCGTCAGTCCCAGAGAGGGAGAGAGAATGAGAGAGAGAGAGAGAGACATAATCAAGAGCGGAACAAACATAATGTCATAGTTCAATCGATTCCCTTCCCTTTACCTCTTTTCTCTGCCGGGGTGGTGGTGCCCAGATCGAAATGCCGCCGCCTCCTAAGTCCTGGCGGGTTCCGGGGGAGGGGGTCGCCAGCGGGGGAGGTACAGCCTGTGATGGCGGGGGTAATCCCAGGTCGAATGCCGCCCCCCCCCTGGGGTCAGCGGGGATCCTGGGGGAGGGAACCGCCTGTTTGCTGGGGGGACAATCCTGGGTCATAATGCCGCTCCCCAACGCGAGGAGGAGGGGATGGGGAGGCGAGAGGAGGAGGAGGAGGAGGAGGAGGAGGAGGAGGAGGAGGAGGAGGAGGAGGAGGAGGAGGAGGAGGCCCCCCGGTCCTGGCGGGTCCCCGGGGGGTCGCCAGCGGGGCTCCCGGGAGCGGGCCGCCCGTGGCGAGGTGGTGGCCCCGGGTCCGAGTGCCGCCCCCCTCCCGGGGGTCTCAAGGCGGCTCCTGGATTTGGACACCCGAAATGGGTACCGAAAGAATGGGTACAATGCCCAACAACAAATGTTGTCCCAAACCAACAGCGGCCGCTGTTGGGCAGGCGGCCTTCCGTCTCGAATGGACACAGGCCGCGGCGGCGTGAACAGCGAATCTTGTTCAGAATGAACAGGAACTGCTGTTGGGCATCGTACCCAGTCTTTCCGTGCCCATCTCGGGCGTTCAGACTGGAGGGGGGGTCGCCCGCAGGGGTCCCGCGGGAGGTCCTGCCTCAAGCCTTCGTGAGAGTATGTTGGGACACGCTGTTTGGGGTACACGCTGGCTGACACTCACTCCCTGCAAGCTGCCTGGATAATTATCCGCATGCAGCCGATCGACCTATCGCAGCTGAGCGGTCGCGAACCACATGATGGAATAGCTTCTCGTACGCGTAGTTACTGGGCGACAAGACATTCCGCAGCGTGGCCCCGCCCCGCATCCCCAAGCTCGGTCGTGCAGGTGTGCGGCAGCGCAGCGTGTCGCGCCCTCTCGACGACGCAGGAGGGCCCAGAATCGACTCGAGAATTCGGATCGGCGATCGACCTGCATCGTATCGGCGGAAATCGGCAGTCAAGTCGGGGGAAGTCGAAGCAGCGGCAGTCGGCAGGCTAGTCACGCCCCCCAATCGAGAGCTCGGAATGCACATCGGAATCCGAGGTCGAGCCGGAACCCATCGACATCGCATCGGGTCGACTCGGAGGAGTCGACAGCGAGCCCTGCGACGGGAAGCGTCGGCGCCCAAGCCGCCGCGGAGCGACCGCGTAGCGGCCGGCCGCGGAGAACGGCCCCGCCAGGACCACGTAGCCGGTGCCGTCGGGCAGGGGGCGGGGGTCGCCGATCGCGGTGGTGCCGCAGAAGACCTGCGGTCCCGCCAGCAGGGCACAAAAGGTCGGGAGACTGTGGAAAGGCGCCCAGGAGGAGGAGGAGGAGGAGGAAGGAGGAGGAGGACCAGGAGGAGGAGGAGGAGGAGGAGGAGGAGGAGGAGGAGGAGGAGGAGGAGGAGGAGAGGAGGAGGAGGAGGAGGAGGAGGAGGAGAGGGACGCACAATTAAATAGGCACAGGTGGCAGGAGTTCAGTTTTTCCCGGAAAGGGCTCAGGCCCAGGGTTCTCTTTTAGTATGTAAACATAGTCCCCCGTGCCCAACTTGAAGGAGGCCGGCGGATTCTTTCCCTGATACATATCGAAGTCGAAGGAGGCCGGCGGATTAAAATTTGAGGATGTCTCAGGCGAAACGCTTGTTTTTGAAATCCCGATCGATAAATCACAGGGTGCGGGCCGCCTCAGCACGACCACACCCCAGCACGACCATGCCCCAGCACGACCACACCCCAGCACGACCCCGCCCCAGCACGACCCCACCCCAGCACGACCACGCCCCAGCACGACCACACCCCAGCACGACCACACCCCAGCACGACCACACCCCAGCACGACCCCACCCCAGCACGAGCCCACCCCAGCACGACCACACCCCAGCACGACCACACCCCAGCACGACCCCACCCAAGCACGACCACACCCCAGCACGACCACGCCCCAGCACGACCACTCCCCAGCACGACCCCGCCCCAGCACGAGCCCACCCCAGCACGACCACACCCCAGCACGACCTCACCACAGCGCGACCCCACCCAAGCACGACCCCACCCCAGCAAGACCACACCCCAGCACGACCACACCCCAGCACGACCTCACCACAGCGCGACCTCACCACAGCACGACCACACCCCAGCACGACCACGCCCCAGCACGACCACGCCCCAGCACGACCACCCCCCAGCACGGCCACCCCATCAGCACGACCACCCCCCAGCACGACCACCCCCCAGCACGACCACACCCCAGCACGACCACACCCCAGCACGACCACTCCTCAGCACGACCACACCCCAGCACGACCACACCACAGCACGACCACACCCAGTCGCACTCCCGTGGAATGTTTCGTGGGGTGTCTCGTGGAATGCCGTCGTCGTCCTCGTCCGCGATGTGCTTTGGTTGAGTGGTTGCCTGTTCGTGGGGTGTCTCGTGGAATGTTTCGCGGGGTGTCGCGTGGAATGTTTCGTGAGGTGTCTCGTGGAATGTTTCGTGAGGTGTCTCGTGGGATGTTTCGCGGGGTGTCTCGTGGGATGTTTCTTGAGGTGTCGCCCAATTGGGTATCGTGAAAACGTGACCGTGCTCCACATGTCTATATCCCTTTCCGGGTTCGTGGGTCCATCATGTTTCCCAGCCATCCTGTGGAGTGGGGTCCTCGTTTTGAAGAGGCGGTGCCCCGCGTTCCTCTTCTCCTCTCCTCCTCCCCTCCTCCCTCACCCTCCTCCCCCTCCTCCCTCCTCCCTGCGTTTCACCCACCCGGTACAGCGCTTCGTGGCCCCACAGGGAGCTCCACCGAAGCCCCCAGTGGGACCGCCCGCATGCGTCCCACGCACCCACTTTGGCATTTACACTCACCCAATACAGCGCTTCATGGCCCCATGGGGAGCTCCACCGAAGCCCACAAGTGGGACCGCCCGCATGCGTCCCACACACCCACTTTGGCATTTTCACCCGCTCAGTACATCGTTTCGTGGCCCCATAGGGAGCTCCACCGGAGCCCCCAGTGGGACCGCCCGCATGCGTCCCACGCACCCACTTTGGCATTTACACTCACCCAATACAGCGCTTCGTGGCCCCATAGGGAGCTCCACCGAAGCCCACAAGTGGGACCACCCGCATGCGTCCCACACACCCAATTTGGTACACCCCTCATACTTTTCGTGGCCCCATAGGGAGCTCCACCGAAGCCACCAGTGGGACAGCCAGCATGTGTCCCACAAACCAAACTTGGCATTTTCACTCACCCAATACAGCGTCTCGTGGCCCCATAGGGAGCTCCACCGACGGCCCCAGTGCTACCGCCCGCATGCGTTCCCCCCCACCTATTGCAGCGCTTCGTGGCCCCATAGGGATCTTCGCCGAAGAAGATATTCACAATTGCGGTACCCGCAACTGCATATGGTTGGGTCCTTCGCTGGGATAATTCCAATATTTCCTGGGTTTACTTCCCATGTTTTCTTTATGTTTTTCCTTGGAGTCGACGGTTCGTTGTGTCCGTGTGCTTTTTTCCCCTCCCGAGACTGGGGCCGGGCTGCCCATGGGCGAAGGCCGTCAAAAGAAATGTCACCATGTTCGGTGGCAACTCATGGGAGCCTCCCGTACCATCTTGTCGGCTCTTTCGAATCGACGCTAATCGACGCCAAATCGACGCTAAATCGGTGCTATGTCATCGACTCCCAGACGCTAACCGACGCTAAAGACTTAACGAACAGGGTACGTATACCAGGCTCCCATGATTTGCGAACGAAGCCATGGAGGGGGATGATCATGTTCTCCATAGCTCTCAACATGGCGCATCCACCTGCCAACCGAGTTCGCGCACCTGTCACTGGTGTGTTTCGCACCATCAGTGCGCTGATGTCCGTGCTACCGCCAGTACTCTGCGGCGGGTGTCTACACAATTTGTTTTGCATAGATAGCCAATCCTGCCTGACGTTCGCGGCGCGCCATCACTCCCTGGGGGGTCTGCGAAGTGCGCAACCGTCTCGAGTTTTGTGGGCTCCTGGGCGGTCCAGCGGAATGGAATGCCACGCGCACCCGTCCGAAACTTCGCGGCAACTTTGGTGGCTGCGAACTGCGCAAGTGTCGCCATCCTCGCGGGGTCCCGGGAGGAACGACGGAGGTGAGGGCATCGCAATTCAATGTGAGACCTCGCGGCTCCCTCGGGGGCTGCGAACTGCGCAACTGTCGCCATCCTCGCGAGCTCCTGGGAAGCACGGCGAAGTGAGGGCCGCGCAACTCAATTTGAGGCCTCGCGGTTCCCTCGGGGGCTGCGAATTGCGCAAGTGTCGCCACGTTCGTGGGCTCCTGGGAGGCAAGCCCGCAGCAAGGGCAGCACAACTCCATTTGAGACCTCGCGGCTTCCTCGGGGGCTGCGGATTGCGTAATTGTCGCCACTTTCGAAGGTTCCTAGGAAGCATGGTGGAGATGGGGGCAGCGCAGAGCGTGCAAATCTGGCGATGTGTTCTTTTGTACGGAACGGTCACGCAAATATTTGCTTCGCGAATCATGCGGCGGGAGAAGGCTGAGAACCGCCCCGCGCACTTGCGTTCCCTGCCCTTCCGCGTGCGGGTCCGCGTGGACCAACACGAGGACGCGAATGTTTGCGACCGGCTGGCAGAACACGCGGAGGGGGTCGACGTCTCGGATGCGGCGGGCTCGTCTACATCGAGCCGCAGACGTCCACCCCCCTCGAAATGCGCAAGATCAAAGTCACGCGGACTGACCTGCAAATCTCCCGCGTCAAAGTGCTCGCGTCGACGGCCTGCCATGGGCGGACCATGCGCGAGGCATGCAAACGCCGACGGACGACGGCTTGTACGCCCTCTGGCTACACCTGTGCGTCATGCTTTCCAAAGTGACGACGTCTGACAACCCGCCCATCATCCTCGCCTTAGGCCGGGCGTGTCCACCTATTGGCGGATTTTGGGCCAACCATCCTGTGGTGTTGGGTCCTCGTTTTGAAGAGACGGTCCCCGCGTTCCTTCTCCTTCTCCTCTTTCCCCTCCTCCTCCACCGTCCGCATGCGTCCCGTACACCCAGTACAGCGTTTCGTGGCCCCATAGGGAGCCCCACCCAAGGTCCCAGTGCAACCGTCCGCATGCGTCCCACACACCCAATACAACGTTTCGTGGCCCCATAGGGAGCTCCACCGAAAATCCGAGTGCTACCGTCCGCATGCGTCCTGCACACCCAGTACAGCGTTTCGTGGCCCCATAGGGAGCCCCACCCAAGGTCCCAGCGCGACCGTCCGCATGCGTCCCGCACACCCAGTACAACGTTTCGTGGCCCTCCTCCCCCTCCTCCCTGCGTTTCACCCACCCAGTACAGCGTTTCGTGGCCCCATGGGGAGCCCCACCGAAGGCCCCAGTGCCCCCGTCTGCATGCGCCCTGGAAGCCCAATTTGGCATTTTCACCCACCCAGTGCAGCGTTTCGTGGCCCCATAAAGGGGGCCCCAGTGCCACCGTCCGTATGCGGCCGGGAAGTGTAATTAACTTGGCATTTTCACCCGCGCAGCGCAGCGCTTCGTGGCCCCATCAGGGGGCTCCACGGAAGCTCCCAGTGGGACCGTCCGCATGCGTCCCGGTAACCCAATTTGGCACTTTCGCTCACTCAGTAGAGCGCTTCGTGGCCCCATAGGGAGCTCCACCGAAGCCCTCAGTGGGACCGTCCGCATGCGTCCCGGAAACCCAATTCGGCACACCACCCACACAGTACAGCGTTCCCCCCCGCCCAGTGCAGCGCTTCGTGGCCCCATAGGGAGCTTCACCGAAACAGATATTCACAAATACGGTACCCACAACTGCATATGGTTGGGACCTTCGCCCAGATTTTTTATTGTATGTATATACATATACGTATGTGTATATATATACATACATACACAGAACTGTATATATATATATATATATATGTATATATCATATACATACATACGTATACACGCACACACACATATATATATATGTATATATATGTATATATATACATACACATACATACATATATACACATATATGTGTATATATATGCACATATGAAGTCGGAATCAACCACCAACGAATCACAACACCATCTAAAAACAATCCCCAAACGATTTCTTGACTGTTCTTGAACATTCCTCCTGTAGAGGGCCAAGCCCGACGGACTCCTCGCCCCAGGCTTGGACTTCCAGTCTCCGGGGCCGCCGGCGGGCCCGGCCGCGCGCGTCCGAGCTCGCTGCACCCGCCACGGAAAACTGCGGGAAGCAGTCCATGAAGATGGCGCGCGCGCGCGCTCGGCCTTGCCTTAGGTCGGGCGTGGCCCCCTACAGGGTGATTTTCGACGAAAAATAAAACATACTCAAAACATATTCCAAAATGGTCAACAAAAATGCTCAAAACATAGTCCCCAGATTATTTTTTCCCGGAAAGGGCGTAGGCGATACATAACGAATGGGAAGAGGGCCGGCGAATTAAAATTTGAGGATGTCCCCAGCGAAACGTTTGTTTTTCAGAATTTGTTGAGGATGTCTCGAGCGAAACGCTTGTTTTGTGTTATAGATTGTCCTCTCCAGGGGACCAGAATTCAGAGGATCTCTGAGGTAAAGTGCTTGTTTTCACGTGCCCAGGTCTTGAGGATGTCTCGAGCGAGACGCTTGGTTTCACGCCTGCAGGTTGCCCAGGCAGAGGTCTAGCATCAGGATTTGTTGAGGATGTCTCGAGCGAGACGCTTGGTTTCACGCGTCCTCGTCGTCCAGGCGGATGTCTAGCATGAGGATGTGTTGACGAAGTCTCGATCGAGATGCTTGTTTGTACGTGTCCAGGTTGCCCAGGCGGATGCCTAGCATGAGGATGTGTTGAGAATGTCTTGAGAGATGCGCTTCTTTTCACGTGTCCAGGTCGCCCAGGCGGATGTCTAATATGAAGATGTGTTGAGGATGTCTCGAGCGAGACGTTTGCTTTCGCGTGTACAGGTCGCCCAGGCGGATGTCTAGAATGAGGAGGTGTTCAATACGCCTCGAGCGAAACGCTTGTTTTCACATGCCCAGGTCACCCAGGCAGACGTCTCACTTGAGGATGTGTTGAGGATGTCTCGAGCGAGCCACTTGTTTTCACGTGTCCAGTTCGCCCAGGCGGATGTCTAGCATGAGAATGTGTTGAGGATGTGTTTTGCGAAACGCTTGTTTTCACGTGTCCAGGTCGCTCAGGCGGATGTTTAGCACGAGGATGTTGACAGGATGTCTCGAGCGAAACGCTTGTCCCCAGCACGTTCCGTAGCGCGTCCCCTTGGCACGTCCCGCGGTGCGTCCCCATGGCACGTCCCCTGGCACGTCGCTTGGCGCGTCCCTTGAGACGTTCCGCTGCGCGTCCTCCTGGCATATCCCCCTGTCAATTAGCTCTGGGGCAGCTACTATGTGTTCAGGCAGCTCTAGCTTAAGATCTAGATCAGTTCGGTCAGGACTCGGATGCAAAGGAGGACTCGATCCACAACGCTATAGAGCACAATCGCGGCATGGCACATCGCAATTCAGCACGGCGCAGCACAGCACAGACTTCGGCACGGTACATCAAGATCGATACACTCAGCATTGCAACTTGGCACGTTCCTTGGCACGTTCCGTGGGGCGTCCCTTGGCGAGTCCCCCTGGCACGTCGCGTGGCGCGTCCCCTGGCACATCCCGTGGCACATCCATTGGCACGTTCCGTAGCGCGTCCCCTTGGCACGTCCCGCGGTGCGACCCCGTGGCACGTCCCCTGGCACGTCGCCTGGCGCGTCCTTTGGGACATTTCGCAGCGCGCCCTCCTGGCATATCCCCCTGTCAATTAGCTCTGGGGCAGCTACTATGTGTTCAGGCAGCTCTAGCTTAAGATCTAGATCAGTTCGGTCAGGACTCGGATGCAAAGGAAGACTCGATCCACAACGCTATAGAGCACAATCGCGGCATGGCACATCGCAATTCAGCACGGCGCAGCGCAGCACAGCCCTCGGCACGGTGCATCAAGATCGATACACTCCGCATCGCATGCCCGTCACCCAATCAAGTGTCTTTGAAAACGTTGCCCTGCGTTACATTTCTATATTCCTTTCCGGGTTCGTGGGTCGATCATGCTTGACAATTTGTGAAAATGTCCCCTGTAGAGGGACAGGCCCGATTTCAGCCTTGCCTTAGGTCGGGCATGTCCTCCTTCAGGCGGATTTTTGGACGACAAATCAGAGCGTGCTCCCAAAATAATCAGAAAGTAGTCAAACAAAAGCGAAGATCGTCCCCAGATTAACTTTGGCCTATTTTTGGGGATTCCTCCTGTAGAGGGACATGCCCGACTGACGCCTTGCCAGGTCCCTGCTCGACTGCGCAGAAGGGGAGCCGCGAGCGGATTCCTGGCGAGCGTGCGCATCGGCTGCAGCGTTGGCGGCGCCGTCGGCGATATTTGCAGCGGGCGGCGACCAGTCGAGTAGGCAAGGGCGCGGGCCCACATGCCAGCCATGGCGCGTGGCGCTGTCCCGTCAATCTGCGCGCGGCGCCGTTGCGTCACAGAACGCAGGGCGCCGGGGCGCCACGAAATGATGCCTGGCGCTGTCTTCAGTGGCGCGCTCCCCCCCCCTTTCTCAGGCGCGTGTAGCCCGCGGCGGCGGCGGCGGCGCGAACCGAGCAGGTGTAGCGCGGGGCGTTGCAACCCTCATCGATCTTTCTTCGCCTTCCTTTCTCTAGGCCTGCGGTTGGAAATGGCAGTAGTGATGGCCAGCACTGCTTGGACAGCTTCGTCCAGAGCGATTGCCTCGGCTGTGAAGGAAGAAATAGGGTCGCGAAGAAAAGTGCCTCTATGATCGGGGTGGTCACTATGTAGGCCCCCTTCTGGACGACGGCTTCTTTCTTCTCCTTCCTTCTGAGTCCCTCTCGTCGCCCCCCTGTTCCCAGGGCGGCCCGAGGGCGGCCCAAAGGGCCCGCCACGCCAGACGGCCCGAGAGGGCCCCAAGAGGCTTCCAAGATGGATTCCGCGCCCTCCGCCCCAAGAGGCCCCCAGGAGGCCCCAAGAAACGCCCGAGGGACCCCCAGTACCCTCCAAAGAGGAGGCCCAAGAGTGTCCCAAGCCAACCCCCAAGATGGCCCAAAGCGTCGTCGTTGTCGTCCCCATTTCAGGGTCGGCGGCGCTGACCGTAAGGCCTTCGCAATCTCATTAACCCCTGGTCTAAAACTGTTACCAGATATTGTCAACACCTTGCCCCAAACAACTGCGAGCCAAATATCCTCAATCCCCCGCGGACCAAACTGCAGTCTAACGGCCAATCCAGTCAGTCAGCTGTCAACCTCTTGATATCATTTGTCACTTCTGTTGTCAACTTACCGTGCGACGGTCAAACACGTACTGCGCCTGTGATCACCCTCTTCCCTCCTGCCCTCACACCTTCTCCTCCTCCGTCTCCATACAAGCCTCTCCATCCTGCCCCTCGCTCCCACTCATCCTCTGCTCCTCACCCCCGTCCTCCTCGTTCTCGGCTGTCTCGTCCTCCTCACTGCTCCCCGCTCTGCAGCTCCAGGCAGTCCCCCCAGTTGAAATGAACTGTAGGGGCCTATGAAGAGGGAGCTTGGAGGGAGGGTGAATTCCAATATCGTTGATGACGCTTGGGTTTACACTGGTCCTTCTCCTCCTCCCCGTCCCGCCACTGCTCCGCCTCCTCCTCGCCCTCGCTCCCCCCGCCCCCCACACCTCTCCGCAGGCCCCATCCCCCTGCCTCGAAGCCTGGGCGGACGTGCCCTCAGGCCCTCGACCTCCTCCTCCTCCTCCTCCTCCTCTTCTTCTTCTTCTTCTGCTTCTGCTTCTGCTTCTGCTTCTTCTTCTTCTTCTTCCTCCTCCTCCTCCTCCTCCTCCTCCTCCTCCTCCTCCTCCCCCTCCCCCCCCCTACGGCCGGGCCTGAGACGGAAGAACCTCCTCCAGGACCATGAGACACCGCGGGGGCCCAGCCACACGCGGCACATCCGAGGGGTGCCCTCCCCTGGAGGCACGAGGACGCCCAGTAGACGAAGGACACTGGCGCATCTTCCCCGAACCGACCTCGAGCTCATACTTCGGGTCGACCGCACTGCCCGCGAGCTCGGCGCCTCTCCGCCCCGCCGCTCTCGCCGCCCCGGAGGCGCCGAGCCCGCCGGGCGGGCCAGGCCTGGATGCCGACGTCGGCCGCCGCGAAGGGCGAGGACACGCTGGCGCGCAGGAGGAAGGGCTGTCCGCCCTGGAGGTCGACCTCTGCGCGCCAGGGGCGGGGAGGGCGGGAGGGCGAGGGCAGGGCGGACTCGCTGGGGAGCTCCAGGGGCGTGCACAGTCAACCCGCACGGTAGGGACGCGCGACAGGCATGCGAGGGCCTGGGAAGGCCATGCCGCCACTTTGCGGGCTCGGCCAGCGGAAGCGGCCAAGTATGGGCCAAAGAGGAAAAATGCAGTGGTAACTTTGGGAAGTCGCTCATTTTTACTATGCGGGTTGACTACACTTGGGGAGAGGAACGGAGCCTTATACTGTTCCCTGGTACATGCTGCTGGAAAACAAGCATCCTGTCAGATTTTCCTGTTTCCTCTGTGCCTTTCTCGACTTCTGCCCAAATTTCCCCCCAGCAGCCTCCGTCCTTTTCCGTCCTCATAGCGTAACCATTTGTTGGACAAATGGTGATGCTTGGAAGCGCGTGCGTGCCCGATAGCTGCCGCACATGCCTCGGAATCCAGACGACCGTTAGAAATCCGCGCGAAGCGCCAAAGGTTTATGTATGTGGCGTTTGGAGGAGGAGGAGGCGGAGGAGGCGGAGGAGGCGGAGGCGGAGGAGGAGGAGGCGGAGGCGGAGGCGGAGGAGGAGGAGGCGGAGGAGGAGGAGGAGGAGGCGCAGGCGCAGGCGGAGGCGGAGGCGGAGGAAGGAGGAAAAAGGAGGAGGAGGAGGATGAGGGGAGGAGGAGGAGGAGGAGGAGGAGGAAGAAGGGAGGGAGGAGGAGGAGGAGGAGGAGGAGGAGGAGGGGGAGGAGGAGGATGAGGAGGAGGAGGAGGAGAGGAGGAGGAGGGAGGAGGCAGGAGGAGGAGGAGGAGGAGGAGGAGGAGGGAGGAGGAGGAGGAGGAGGAGGGGGAGGAGGGGGAGGAGGCGGAAGGAGGAGGAGGAGGAGGAGGAGGAGGAGGAGGAGAGGAGGAGGAGGAGGAGGAGGAGGGATGGGGGAGGAGGAGGAGGAGGAGGAGGGGGGGAAGGAGACAAGGAGGAGGAGGAGGAGGAGGGGGAGGAGGGGGGAGGGGAGGAGGGGAGGAGGAGGAGGAGGAAGGGGAGGAGGAGGAGGAGGAGGAGGAGGAGGAGGAGAGGAGGAGGAGGAGGAGGAGGAGGAGGAGGAGGGGGAGGAGGAGGGGGAGGAGTTTTTCTATCCTCCGACGAGCGCAAAATCGGAGAGAGAGAGCAGGCCAGCCCCGACGATACATACGCGCGCAAGGCTGGGCTCGCCGGGCGGCGGCCTCCTCTGGACCGGAAGGTCGAGCCCGCGCTCGCGTCTGCACGCTGGCGCTGGCGCCCCAACATGCAGTCGGGCGTTGACCTAAGGAACCCTAAAGAAGGAACGAAGCCTTAAGTCGGGCCTGTCCCCCTGCAGGGGGATTTTCGACGAACAATTAAACATGCCCCTAACATAATCAAACCATAATCTATTTTTTTTACGACGACATGGGAGCTGTTACGGACGAAACTAGTTCCACAGGTGGGGTGTCCACGTGTGGCGGGTGCGACCGCATCAACAGCACCTAAGGCCCTGAATGGTACCGCCGTGCCCGCTTAAAGACTGGATGCATTCCTTGCTCGTCGCTGCAGTGTCGAACTGCCTCTTGCCTGCTATGCATGGCCTGACGCTGCAACGGTGCAGCTCGCTATATGCGGGCTGGCATGCGCTGTGCGTTGGAAAACCCTGAAGGGCGGCTCTGGGGGGTGGCTTCGCATTGGCCAAAGCTGAAGACTTACAGACAAACAAAAATCCTGCTACGGCGGGAAACGATAGAGGGGGGAGGGGAGTGCTCCTCATTTCCTACTCCTCGGGGAAAGCAGGAAAGAGGGGGGGTGAATAGGAGTCTAGCTACGGCTCTGGACGAGGGGGCCTTAGAAGGGACCTCTTAGGGCACATCATGAGAATAAAAATTCAGCAGCCTCCTCATCAGCGGCCAGATCATGGGTCTGCACCTCGGGATCTGCATTATCTGAGGGGAGGTCACTAGTGTGATGTGCGGGGTCCGTCTCGGGAGCTACTGAGGGCCTCACTGCAAGGAGTATGCCGCCAGATACGAAACGTATCATCCTGTCATTCGTCGAAAGTGGTCCAGCCATGTCGATATCTCCTCCTCCAGCCAGCCCGCTGGGGCTGGGCCCAGGTGGTGCTTCGCGATCCCTTCTGAGCGTAGGCCAGCGAGCAGGAGGCTTCTGCCCTGCCAGTCCTTGGCGCCGAGGATGAGCTTGGCTGTGTTCGGGTCGTGAGTCTTGTCGATGCGCAGGAAGGCGACTTCGGTCTGGAGGGTCTCTACGTCGATCAGGGGCTCGAGCTGAGGATCCTCTGGCTGGCATTTCTCGAGGTACTCCTCGATCTCTTTGCGTACTCGACCTCCCACTTCGCATGTCAATAGCCCCTCCAGCATGGCGAGGGCGAGTGCGGGGGTCGGTGGGCCTAGCATTTTGAGCGCCTCGGTATCCTTGTTGGTGCGATAGTTGTTGACCCGTGTCTTGAAGCCCTCGAGCTCCGTCGAGATGTGGGATACTGTCGGGTGGTTGATTGGTAGCGTCCATGTGTCGGCCACCGTGCACATGATCATCCGTATTTTTTTTGTGTGTTCTGGAGTGTGAGTGTCATCAGCGAGGTGAGCAGCATTTGCATGTTCTTGTCTTTGTTCGTCCACTGCTTGTCGGTGTGCTGCCCTCGGTGAGCTCGTCGTCCGCCTCTGCGCCGAGCACGGCGTGGCTCGTTCTGTTGCTCTTCCACGTCCATGTCGTCGTCCTCCTGGTCCGCTGCTGGTGTCGGTTGGCCCTTGTTGCCCTTGGTCCCCTCGACCTTGCGTCGGCGCTGGGGTGGTTCGTCGGCTTTGGAGTCGTTCCCAGAGGTGCCAGACTTGGTCGAGGACGGTGGCGGGCCTCTCCACGGGGCACGTGCTCCGCGTCGCGGTGCTGCTTTGGGCTGGGCTATGCTCGGCGCCGCTGCTTGTGGCGTGCTGCTGTCCGCTGCTGAGGCCATCAAGTGGAGCTGGTGTCGAGTTGCTGGCTGGTTCTGCTGGTCGTGGAGGTCGCGGTAGTGTTGGCGTGGACGTCAAGGCTGTAGTAGTCGCACTGCGGGTGTCGTGCGTAGGTGGTGGTCGTCGATGTTGCGGCCGTCGAGCTCGTGATGTAGTTGATGCTGTGGCTGAAGCTCGAATATGTGTGCCCAACTGAAGCGTCACTGCCTGTCGAATTTCTTGTCGGAGCAGAGCGGTGTCAAATGGTCGCCGCAATGTGGCGGCGAGGAAACGCTTAGGCACTGTCGGTCCGTGCGGGCGTGCCTCTCTCGCCGAGCGAGGCAATGTCTTGAGCCAAGGGCCGCGCGGCGACGGAGGGATGTGCGTGCGGAGGTGGGATCGGAGCCCGTCGATGTCGTAATAATCTCGCTGACAATCGATGTTGGGGCTAATGTGCTCGAGCGGGCATCGCGTGGCAGTGGTGGGCTGCCGTGTGTGCGCGTGTAGGGTGCGATCGATGAAGCATCGCCCTTCGATCCAAGACCGTCGGCGATGAGTCTGGCAATATTTAATAGAACCATATACATTATCACAAATCAAGCATTTGCTGTCGAGAGTGATCGATGATAAAATAATGGGGGCTCCGTGTCCTGGGAGTGCTGCTGTTGTTTGATGTGCAATAAGTGCAGAAAAAGTGCGGAAGGCCTTGATGCAGCCCTCGATGTTGCAGACGAACGGGATCGGATCCTCGGGGTCGCTGTCGGGGTCTCCCAGGGGGGTCTCGGGTGGCAAGTAGTGGTGACTTGGTGGGGCCCAAGACTGCGAGACATACGCCTGCCGTGAGTAGCTGAAATCGATCTGCTGGAATGCCTCCTGGATCTCGGGGTCCCTGAAAATCTTGCGAATGTCGTCGTCGATGTCCCAGAGGCCACGGAGGTCGTCGCTGATGGGGGCTGCAAGGGCACTGAGGAGGTCCCCGCGGAGCTGGCGGGCCCAAGGGTGTACTTTAGGGTCCGTGTTGAGAGAGCCTGACTCGGTGAGGGTATTGGCGGGGGTGGGAAGGCCTTGCGAAGCATAACGATCTTCAATCTGGCGCCGTCCAAAGAACCCTGAGAGAAATTGCTCGTGATGCCCTGCCTCTCTACTGATGCTCTGCCACCATTTCAAACGGCGAACGCATAGTTCAAGAGACGTGGGGGCGATGCCCCAGACAGTAAACAACTCGCGAGTGGTGAGTGAATGATGCTGGCCGTCGCTGTCGATACAATGTGCATCGCCCATGAGCATACATCGAAGTGTTTTTGCGAGGCTCGCATCGATCCGTGCCGTCTCGGCACGGGTGAGTACAAGTGCTTCCAGGCCTGACCATGCACGGCTCGCGACATTGGCGAGGAAGACGAGGCGTTTGCAACGTCTTGGTGTGGCTGAGGTCCAAAAATGAGTAAGCCGTGTCCAGCCCATGTTACAGGCTCGAATCCGTTCCTCCACCTCACGGGTGTTGTAGCCATCGACATGGATATAGGAGCCGAGATGGATAATATTGGTCATGCATGTGCCGCTTAGCTGTCGTTCGGCCTGCTTGGTGGCGTTGCTGGTAGCGAGTCGTACTAATGTCTCCTGCTTGTGCGCATTCTGTGCATATCCACCATGTCGGAGCTTGGCATTCATAATAGAGACGTCGATGCAGTCTATTGCTAGGGCCGGTCGGAGTGTGCCGTCGGGGACGATGATCACGCGTGCGATGTCGTCGATGAAGGCGCCCATGTCGATGCGATGGGCGGTGCCTGTGATGGGGTTGGCGCAGATAAGGCCGTCTCCAATGACGGCATTGAGCTCTGCATCCCAGTCAATGATGAATGGATAGAAAGATTCCATGAAGAGCTCGGGCTCGTTGCTGTCGCCCATGCGGCCTCCACTGCCAGGGTGGAGTCCGATGATGTCGTCGCTGGCATCGATGCGCATGGTGGCGCGGAGTCGATGTTGCGTGAGCATGTCCTCGAAGTGGGGATCGTCGGTGCGTACTCGATGTGCTGCCAATA